CATGTTAAGTGATGATTTCTGTTTGTTGTAGTTGTTATTCAGTCTTCTGGTGGTCTTAGTAAAGACGCCATTGAAAACATGATCAAAGAAGCAGAAGCACACGCTGAAAGTGACAGACGGAAGAAGGTAAAACAACGAAAATCCTAATATACCAATCTCTTAGTCTTGAAGATACATTATCAGGGTTCGCGCTACTCCTTGAAACCCTTGAAAACTCCTAGAATTGAAAACTCGTTTTCAAGGACGCTTGAAAAGCCCTTGAAAATTGGAAAAATCGCTAAAACTCCTGGAAAACTCCTTGAATCTGATGAAATTAACATGTTTGGATTGAATTTGGCTATTTTTGAAATTCGCCACTGGAAACATTCGCAAACATCAAAAAATATCTTCAAAAATAGTCCTTGAAAATCTCATTTTTGTGCTTAAAAGTACTTGAAAAGTCCTGGAATTTTGCAGTGGAAATTTTGCACGAACCGTGCATTATGTATTAGCCTGCGTAGCGGCCCTAAGGGGATTGGGGAGGGCGGGCCGAGTGGGGAGGAAGGGCCTGCCAAGAGAACCCCACGTATGGTATTTCGGTCTTTTTAAAGATATCTGCTCATATTGTATTTGTGTTGTTGCCTAGGAAACCACTGAAGCTGTCAATCAAGCAGAATCCATGATCCATGACACAGAAGTTAAGATGGAAGAATTCAAAGATCAGCTTCCTAGTGATGAGGTAATGTACATCAAGGTCAACACTGTGACTTGCGGTTGAGAAATTCTCCGTCTCAAGGCAAGTGTTGTGATCATTGCTTTATTCTGTGAACAGACTGACAAGTTGAAGGAAGAGATCGCTAAAGTACGTGAAGTRCTGGCCAACAAGGAAAATGAAACAGGCGAGACTATTAGACAAGCCTACAGTGAACTACAGCAGAAATCATTGAAACTGTTTGAAATGGCTTAYAAAAAGGTGACTAACTGTTGGACCTTGTGTGTTTGCATGCTTGCTTTGCATTATCTATGTGCTTGCGTGCACATATCATATTTCGTGTCTCAAACATGGCTTTGCTTTGTTTTTTTTTCTGTTTTTTTTTTTTTTCGATTTCCCTTTCGATTATTCTACTATTCACATTCCATTCATTTCTCAATAGATGGCTGCAGACAGAGAGAGCAGCGGTGCTGAATCAAGTGCTGACTCAACTTCAGAAACAACAGAAGAGAAGAAGAAAGATGAAAGCTGAACAACGACAACATTAGACGCTTCAAATAACCATCCACAGTAGTTCTTGCAGATAATGTAAAGCACAGACTCTGAATGGAATATATATTAACCTTGGATTCTGAAAACACGTCAAGTTAAGATGGACATTTTAGTGTATTTCATAGCTCTCTCTATGTATTGAGTGCATGAAATTGCTTTGTTTTTCTGTAAGAATGGCGAATTTCTAAATGGCCATCGTTTAGGGTAAAATGGCTGCTTTATAGCTTGATTTTTGTGAATGAAAGCAAGACAAAGAAATAAAATTATTCAAAATTTTATAGCTTCTTTGATTCTCCATGTGTAAACCAAGTTCAAGATTGTGTGAAGCTTAGTTAGCTATTCCTTGAGGGGYTTGTGATTGAGAAATGGGATGTCCGTAGAGGGACTCGTGATCGGCGGCCAGTGTTTGCCTTTCATACAAATTGCATGCCATGTAATACTATCGAATTGCCTCGCGCCGAAAACTGATGACAAGAATCCTTGAGTGATCCCACTATCCTATTCTCTTCGTACCCACTTTTTGTAGCCACTCCTAACTCGACCTTTATGGTGTGGCCTCAATTTTGGCTTGGATTATTTACTAAGACTACAATGKWAACGYTTTTKATCCCACTCTTGACGAGAAGTTGATTTCAATTCGTCCGTGTAACTTTTGCATGTCTTTAGACTGATCTGATCCGCTAATCCCCAAAGTAACACTGATCCTATACAAGTACTTCGTCGATGGCAGGCTCGGGACATCCGTATACTAGACACGCCTTGCTCATGTAAACATGGTCACTGATCATAGTACTAACTGTGCACTGATAAAGCCTTCAATGGCTACAACTACAACTGAWYAACACAGAGWRAYATTGWTTGTAGTTCCGGAATACACGGTGTGCGTCATGTACTTCCRGGTAAACTTGACTACAAAAACTGCGTGKTTTCGCAAAAATAACTTGATTAGAGTYTGATTTACACTGTACGACTATTAMAAACATTGCGGTCATACGTAAACACCGGACACTAAGCAAATCTGCGCAATTTCCGTCCTGTCCAACCTACTAACATCAATGGGTAGGATGTGTGACTAATGTAATATAATACTGCAGAAAGATGATAGTTATTAAAGCTTGCTTAGGTCGTGCGCAGGCATAATAAATCGATTCCAGACTCGGCATCAAAGCTCTCACCATGAACGTTTACAGAACACTTATCACGTTGCTGCTGGTTTTGTGTGCTAAAGCTCAGCGTATTATCTACAGAAGAAAACCAAACTCACATAAGCTATTCAAATATCAAGGTAGGTCTTATAAAAAGGCATAGTTGACAATTAGCTCTCATAGTTGACAATTCAATTCAATTCACTACTTATATAGATGCGTCTTATAACGCAACATTTCTAAGTATATAACGTCAATAAGTCGTAAAARTTAGTTAATGTTAGAGGTTCCACATTCTGGACTATTAATCCCTTAATAACATTTTTAAAAGTAATTGGACCAATTGCGTTTAGTTTTAAAATATTATATGATAATAAAATTAATATATGAGAAAATAAATGGATGATATTGAATATTTTGAAGTGATTGGAGAAATTAAACTGGTCGATAATAAACGCGTGTTACTAAATTGGTGATAAAAACTAGTGCCTAATATAACTGAGTATTTAAAAGTATTACTCAACCCAATATCAACACGTACATAAMGGAGTTCACCAATGACTGACGCCAACTCACTTCCTACAAAAATCGTTTGTTTTAAAAGACTAAAAGTTATCTCAATATATCTCCACTTAAAAATAYTGCTATTGAGGCGCTTTTAAGCTCAAATCCAATTCTTACAAATMAGGAAGTTTTTACACCGACGATCTCGGGGTCGAAAAGACACAKGAAACCCACAATGTAACATTATGACACGATGGAAAAAAGTTATTAAAAAACATTGATGAACAAGATGAAATGGAAGGAAATATAAGGATTTTAAAAAGGAGATTCCGAGCCATCACAATAAGTGACATCGAATATAGACTATCCCCACTCCCCCTCGTCCCCCCTCCCCTCCCCCCTCCCCCTACTAATTTAACATTAATAGATTTCGATAGTTGCCCTAGCCTGTTAGTAAAAGGGGTTAAATTATCCATTAGTGTCTAAGGGACGATTATCTTCCCCTCACTGCCGTTATAAGGGGAAGTAAGGACCAACCTCGGAAGAAGTAAAAGTTTCTTGTTTTTCAAACATTTTGCCATGGGTTCGAGTCCGAGCATAATCGTACTTGCGTCTTAATTTTTATCTTTTTTATCGGAAACACSTTGAATCGGGAGGTTTGGGGGATATATAACCCAAGAACAACCTCCAACGTTTAGGGGAGTATTTAGAATTCTAGGACTATATCAAATTACGTATTTCAATCATTACTTTTCATTTAGCGGAATAGACCCTTTACATGAAACGGTCACATGGTACTAAACCCGCCATACTGGGGATGGCAACCGAATGTAAGCAACTTCAAAAACAAAAGGAACGCAGCTCGTCAAGCTTAACTTTTCWTTGTTTTGAGAATCCCAATGGGAATTTTGCCATTCAGTATGGCGGATTTAGTACCATGTGACCATGAAACGCTATTAAAAGTACCATTTAATAATTGACTCTCCATTAGCTGAAATGACCAAMCTATTTCATTTTCGCATTACACAAGAAGAATTACTGAACGAAAAGCGAAAGGGGTTAGACTTTCAGCTCGAAGGCTCACGTGATATGTCATGCAATCTTCGACACTCAATCATTTAAAAGAGATGTAATTAATCCTTTCGACCGTTACAAAACACAGTTTAACGCGCGTCATTCAACCACGGAACTCWTGAACCAAAGAGATGGTTTCCACAACGATTTTTGCATTGCTTGTGAGCTTATCTTGCGTTTCAGCCTATCGAAGATATTATYCTAATTATTACTGTATGTTGCCTAGCTAAATACAGGACAGCTTCTGTGTACAACTGTCGCCTATCAAACCAATTCACGAATTGAATCGAYCGTTGGTACGCCGATKTGTAACCGCCTCTTGTTTGCACGACTCACGTAACCACTGTATGCATGACAAGCTCAAGTTTTACGACAGTTGTAGACATAAGCTGTACAGTGTATGTGTTTTTAGGTAGTTGAAATGTCGGCGAAGTGAGCTGTAGGTTGATTTGTGTTTGTTTCTTCTTAACGTTCCAATGATGACAGTAATGGCAAATCGGTCTTCTTTTAATTCATGCTCACTGTCCTGTTTGTTTTTTGTTGTTGTTGTTTTCTTACAGATCCATCATGTCGGGACACTGTGGCCAATTGTAAAACATTACAAAGTTACTCGTGGTGCTACAACTACAGAAACTATATGATGAAAAGCTGCAGGAAAACTTGTGGATGGTGTAAGTTGGATTGAACTGTTTAAATTCAAAATTATAGTTTTATTTCCATAAGTGAACGCATTCTGCCGGGACCCTTGTTTTTAAAACGATATCTGCATATTTAAAACGTCTTTTTAATTTATTACTCCTTTATCTTTTGTTTAGACTTCTTTCATGTGTCGTTTAATATGAATTTTGCACATAATCYACGCTTTTATTTTCTTTTATTAAAATATATCTATCCCTTGAGAGCGTCAGTGTGAACCGGTGAAAAAAAATCCACGCGTTAGGACCAATCAGAACACTGTAATCTTAAAAACGAACATCCTCGGGAACCCAATGGTAATCTTAGTWCCTGTGAGTAACGAGCAACAGAAGATTGCTCCTGGGTTCCCGAGGATGAAAAATAAATTGTTCAAGAAAGATTCCAACAGCTAATTTCAGTTCTTATCGGTACAAAAGACGCTGTAGCTAAATCTTTGAAGACCTTTGAACAAAGAAGGAATGATTGTGTTTCGTTTTGCGTACTCTGCGARCATATCTACTTTTCTAATCCACCGAGAAAGCGAGAGAAAAGTACTAGCATCCTCGGGAACCCAGGGGTAATCTTCTGTCGTTCGTTCCTCACTCCCAGAAAAAGTATTTTTTCTGCGAGTGAGGAACGAACGACAGAAAATTACCCCTGGGTTTCCGAGGATGAAGTACTAGAGGCACTTTTAAATATCTTTAAAAAGATATTTAATTTAAGTTGTCAAAAACAAAATTATTGTTGTTTAGTTATCAACTCATGTATCTTTGTTTATGGCAATCATCCAGATTTGTCGCCTACTTTCATTTCCATTTTAAATGTAAAAGGGGAAGTTGTGTTGTTGCATTTTTAACTGTCCAATAAAAAAGTCACCTATAATATTAGATTTCATTGTATGTTGCGGTTTTGAACGATCTTTCTGTTTAGGGTTTCCTGTTTCATAACGAACAATTGGACAAGCTAGACGCGGGACATCTTAACGGAATGCCGGAGCTAACAGCGCTTTCGCGTCTTTCTCTTTTCTCTAACAAAATAATCTTTTTGACAAAAAAAATGTTTATAAAGAGTACGCTGTACGAAGCAGTTTATAATAAATCAACATTRTCCAATATCGACATTACTAAAGAAGACGAATGAATACACGCAAATGAGACAGGGGGAGGGGAGGGACAGTCTGCCATATTTCACTTTTTCAGTGAACCCCATGGTTATTGGCATACTAAGAGTACCAATCAGACCTCTTCTACCTTCGGCGAAAAGGCTCTTCTTGTAAGCATTTTTAAAGTTCCAACAAAACAACTATAGCTATCATCGTTAAGAGCGCTCGTCGATAAATMATCTGAGCATGCGTCAACCTCGTTTACAGGACCTTTAGCGTTCCCTGTCGCTCTTTTCTCTTCTCAAGCAATAGCTGGGCGGCCTGTGGTTTTAACTGATGATGTGTTTATCTCGTTTCTATCACAGGTCCAAAGGTTACGTCCACATGTATCGATCGTCATCAAAATTGTTGGTCCTGGGCCCGAAAAGRAGCATGTCGGCGGAACTGGCAGTACATGAGGACTAACTGTGCTCGCTCGTGTGGATATTGTCARCAAGGTACAGGTTAACTGCTATTCATATATTGATTGGTCCATTACCATAGCAATGCAAGCTCCTTTGCAGCCTAGACTTTTATCGGGCTTCCCGTGAAAGGAAGAGTAGGCTGTGAAGAAGACTATGTGATTGAAGAACTAGAAATTCCTAGTGTCATGCATTCCATATATTCTGTGATTAGTGGACCATTTAACAATTAGACCTCGAGGTCGAGTGGACTACGAGCTAATAGCCCATGAGGCCGAGTCCGCGAGGCCGAATGGGCTATTAGCTCGTAGTCCACGAGGCCGAGAGGTCTAATTGTTTTAGTATAAACATATACTAATCGGTCAAATAATGAAAACAAATTGAAAAAATCCTTAAAATAATTTACAATTTATTTATTTTGATTTTCCCGCGAGTGGTCTATCACAAATTAGACCATTAGTAGAGTAGCCAATCACAGCGCAGTATGAGTGATAGACCATTAGTATGTTTATACTAAAGGATCATAGTCCTAAGATTTGATGATGATGTTGAGTTATCTGTTGGCCAAATTGCCACAATAGACAAATCTTGTAACCGTCTGCTCTGCAGCCGACCGATAATGATTTTGAGTTATCTGCTGGCTAAATTGCCACAATAGACAAATCTTGTAACCGTCTGCTCTGCAGCCGACCGATAATGATGTTGAGTGCACCACTTGCGGTTCATTTTGCTTATAAGTCGGTATATCATGAAAGGTTTTCCCTCCCTAATAGCGATTCTACAACATATCTTTCTCTTTGGTTTAGTTGTCCATGGTAAGTGGGGTTCGTGGAGTGTGTTCTCAAGGTGTTCAGCGACATGTGGAGGAGGAATACAAGTAAGATATCGTCAATGTAACAAGCCAGCTCCTAAGAATGGTGGACGAACATGCCCTGGGGTCCCAAAGCAGACAATAAATTGTAATACACAACCGTGTAACAAAGGTATGTGCGGTGATGGTTGACTATGATGATCAATATTGACTGATGATTATATGATAATAAATCAAATCTTAAATACAAATATTCATTTACAGCGGTCRATGGTAACTGGGGAGCCTGGGGACCATATACGTCATGTTCCAAGACATGTGGTACCGGTAGTAAGACCAAAACTCGTCGATGCAACAACCCTGCCCCACAGCATGGCGGGAAGAGTTGTGTAGGTGCCAGTCAGTACACCACCGCGTGTAATCTCAGGAATTGTGTGACAGGTAAGAATCTAATCCAGGACAAGATCTAAACTGCGCACTGGGGTATAGGTAGAGAGTCATTTCGATCGGTACAACACCGTATGAAAAGTAGGGGATTATATGAAAGGTAAGAATAGGTACTCACTAGGGATAGGGACAGACTGACAATATCCATGCTCCACTATTCACCAGGACTTTGCTAAATGGACAGCACACTTTCGAAAGTAATAGTAATAGGGGTCTAATAGACTATTAAAGTACAAATAATCGGGAAATTAAATTTAAGACCTGAAAAAAAGAGATCAAGAACAAAATACCTATATATTTAAAGCAATTATTTGACAAGAACGCGAAAATTAATGCCTCAGGCTTGTTCCGATTTCGCGAAATAAGGAAATCGCGAAAATAAGTTCTAATACCAATACCGTGCAACGGGAAAATACCAATACGGGGATAGTGTAGAGTATGTTAAGCCACGCTATGGCAGAGGATAGACTGACAAAATCCATACAAGTGAAAGATAGGGCGTTATTGATGACCAAGACCTGCCACTGTTTAGCCATCCATACCCAACAGGAGTAAGGGTAGGATTCAGTAGTTTTAGCATTGATTTATTTGTCCATATTAGTTGTAGATGGTCAGTGGGGGAGCTGGAGCCTTACATCGTGTAGCGTGACGTGTGGTAGTGGAGTACAAACCCGTTTGAGAAGGTGTGACAGCCCTCCTCCTAAAAATGGTGGCAAGGCTTGTGTTGGCAAATCACGTGAACAGACTGTTTGCACTCGTACGTCATGTCCTAAAGGTATATGATTGACATCTGTAAATATAAAAATAATTGAAAAGGTTGATAGATGGATCAAATGATGATGATGATATGATGAAACATTTTAACATTCTAAATAAACATTTAATAAGAGACGGATCAGGGTGGATGGTTATTTAGATGGATGGAATATTTGATAAATTGGTATTCATATGTGAAAATACTGCTCAAAATATCTCAAGATAACACGGACAATGAATTAAACTATAAAGGACTAGCGTCCATATAATCGATCGTCCCATCGCTCAAAAATACACTCTGATGAAGCAATGAAAACCGCATTCTAGGTGAATATTTGACAAACGGGGAATGTCTCTTACTGAGTCCTATGGCGATGGTCAGCCACCATGCTGGTTTTAATACGTGGCTGGAATTTCATGTCATTCAATATCGACTTTCATCGTCCAGAACTCATGCGCTAGTAAACATAAGGTTATTGTTTAATATCGTCAAGATTTCTACTTCAAATCCATCGAAATCCTTTACAATATGAATGGTATTAGTCTGACATTTCTTCTGCTGTGTATTTCATTTGTTTCTATTCAAGCAAAGGTAAACTCTTTTAATGTATCGATCATGGGGAAAATCTTTGAACTGCCGTCATGGAATTCGAATTCACAGACAAAACGCCTTTAGTCTTTCACCACTTGATATAGCATTTACATGGAAACGTTGCTAGATTACATACACAAAATAGCAGTCGAAATCGTTATTATGCCTGTASATTTGAGACAAGCACTGATATAAGATACTTAAACAATGACTTGTCGGTGCGTATCTCATTAATTCTTCAGCGCTCTGTTCGTCGAAGTAAATGGGACGATGAGAGCGAATGGGAGGATGGAAGTGGAAGTGGATATAATGGTGAGCATAGATTCCATCTGTTTTAGCCTGGTAGAAGTCGATTTTTAGGTTTCGTCTTAGTTTGTGGACCTGCTAGCTTATGGAAAACACACTGCTAGCAGTTTGAGTCAAATCATACTTACACATTCAGTCTATTGAAGAAATTCTGGGCGCAAACTTATATAAATGCATCAATATATATGGTCGTTGATATTTGGGTGTTGATTGATTGATAGATTGACTTGTTGATTGATTGATACGCTTATTACAGATTGATTGATGTATTGGTTGATTGCATATCGATGTGTTGATTGATTGATGCGCTTACAGATTGATTGATGTATTGGTTGATTGCATATCGATGTGTTGATTGATTGATGCGCTTACAGATTGATTGATGTATTGGTTGATTGCGTGACGTGTTGATTGATAAGCGTGTTGATGGATTGATTGACAGGTTAATTGATTCATCGATTGTGAAACAATAGCTGACTAATTAGATGATAAAATAAAAACATTATCGAATCATTATAGCACTCCATCAATAAACAATGAATAAACCATCATAAAACGTAAAATAAAATGAAAACTTTAAAAATATTTAAATGTTGATGATTACTTAATGAATTAGATCTGATTTAA